GCGTTAAAGACAAGATCTATGAACAAATACTAACGAACGTTTTATCAATTATTCAATAGTTTGTGTAGGTGTAATCGAAGTAAGCATTATGGACAAGATCTATGAACAAAATATACTAACGAATGTTTATCAATTATTCAATAGTTTATATAGGAGTGATCGAAGCAAGCATTAAGGACAAGATCTATGAACAAAATATACTAACGAACGTTTTATCAATTATTCAATAGTTTTATAGGAGTGATCGAAGTAAGCATTAAGGACAAGATCTATGAACAAAACATACCAACAAACGTTTTATCAATTATTCAATAGTTATGTTTATTATTTATTTGTGTATATTCTTTATATTTACTTTTAAAATAAATGATTTTACTATAAAAGACATACCTAATTGATCAAATCTGTAAATATTCATAATAATGTAAATTTAGACCTATTCCAAAAATTCTTTATCAAAAACAAATCACTTTTTAAATACTACAATAATGACAATATATTAACTTTATGGAGTTATTTTAGTAAAGCCTGGAGATAACACAAAGAATTTTTGGAATCATTTGGCAACTTTTGGAAACAATGATGCTTTTGATAAAAAAGAAGGTCTATGTGAAAGTTTTTGCACAAGAATCTCAGATGGAAAGTCACCACAAAATATAAATATCTTACAAATTTTTAACAATATTATCAAGTACTCATCCACAGCATATTTGTTTGTTTCAAGAAAATCTTGCAGGAAGAAAGTAAATTTAAATAAACATCAATATCAAAAACGTTTTACTAAATTTTAAATTTAATGCAGAATCAACCATTACAAATATTTCATCATTATATCCAGCAATTAAGGGAGGACTTGCTTTTGCATTAACTAATTCTAAAATTCACCTTGTTCAATTTCTAGCATTATATTATCACTCAACTACAGGAAATTATCATTCTTATGCAAAGAACCAATAACTGATGTTGATATCATTTCAATGTTTTCTGTAAAGTATATATTCATCTTCAAAATAATATTTTTTATTCAACAAGTGAAGATGAACATGAATTGTTCTTACATTTATTATCAAAGCAAATCATTTATTATTTTGGTAGTTAGGTTTCAATTAATGTGAATATTATGGATAGTATGGATATGATTACTATTCAACTGCATTTAAAATTTATAAACTCTAACAGATGAAAAGACTTCATTGTCTATTTTGGATTGTTTAAATATTTAACTAATTACATATTTTTGGATGTAGTGTGAAAATTTCAGGGTCATTCTCTCTTATCGACCTCAAATATGATGCTAAATATTTTTGGCGTGGGTTGAGAAGATCCCGGAGGTCCTATTAATAGAAAATTTAAAGGAATCCTTAAGCCTAAAACATTACTAATGATGATATCGAGAGACAATTGAAAAATTTTATATATATTTAAATTTTTTCTATATTACATATTCTAAACTTTATTCAAATCAAGCTATAGAATTGGGAAAAACTACCGAATGCTATTATTAGTTTAATAGGTTGTTGATTATTTATTGCGAATAATTTTTAAGATTCAGAGTGAATACTTGTATTAAAATGATGGGAAAAAAAGAAATCAGTATGAAAATGTTGTGCGAAATCAAATTTGCGTCAATTTGAATTAAATTTTGGGATGGGTGTTTGAATACAAAATTCTGATTGGCTAATTTGAATTTCACGCGCGTGAATTTCAAATTGACGCAGATTCCAAATTCACGCACAACATTAAAACATGTTGCTTTTACTTATTAATGTCTTCTTCTTTTAGAGATATGTGCTACATGTAAACAAGAAGGTCATTAAAGGTCAACATCCAAGAAATGTAAATCCCCAAGTTGGCTTGTAAAAAACAGATTATTAAGGATGCTATGTTGACTCTACTGTGAAGATGTGATTTAATTCTTTTCTTGCAGAACCTGAATTACATTAGAGTTATTGCATGCAGTAATGGAAAAATCAGAATGGTTGCCGAGTTTAAAATAGCAGCATGTAAATGCCATTACTTTAACAGCCATTCTTGATTTTTTAGTTATTCTTGATGTAATTATTGCATGTTTCTGCATGCGACAATTGGTTCATTGTATGTCTGACTACAAAACAGATAATGGAAAATTTAGCATGTCTCATTTCATAGGCAGGCATACAATAAATAATCTTATTGAAGATGCGGTTGAAAGAATGGCATAAATTACAGCAGAAGCATCACAACTTGCACAGGCGCTAATTATATATTGTGTTGAAAATAATGTACCAGTTTCCAAGGTTAATTTACGATCACGGTTGCACAAGAAATTTTTTTACTACAGTCTGTCATCAATCAGCAGGTCAAGAAAATTCCCAAAGACCACATCATCGTCACTTATCAATCATGTATGTGGCACTAGAACAAGCCTTGGAATGATAATGGATACATTTACATTTATTTTCTTTTATATTCCCTTACTGTTATGTTTAAATACACTTGCGCCTGGATGATGGTAAAACTTTACTTGATTTGAAATCACAATAATTGTCTAAGGCCAAGAAGTTGTGATTAATCAAAGTAATAGTTTCCCCACTAGACTTGGGTTATTGTGGTGAGGTCGGAGAAAAGTTTTAATCACATCATGTAGAGTAGAAGAAACCTTACCTTTTTAGGAGAGATGTTCAAGCAAGAGAACAAATAAGAAGGCCTTCAGCTTATTTGACCTTGCACCCATCACCGGTTTCAAAAGCAGATGCATTCCAATCCAAACCAATGCTCTTTTTGATTTGGTTCATTCAATTGATTTTGCTGGCTTGGGAAAAAGCATGGACTAACAATGACAGAATTTGGAAATGATATCTTAAGCTGGTGGAGACTAACATTTAATATTGATAGGGTGAATACTTATTTTAATCTACAATATTTTCTTCACTTGTAAAACTCGATTCTTTTTTCAAAAGTGATTACATAACCTAGTGATGATACAAGGAGGCAAATATTTGGCCTTAGCATCGTGACAGATGCTGTGAGTGTTTCCATTCTTGTGACAAAGCCAACAATCCAGTGGAATGATGTGAATGACTATGATTTTGATCAAGATGGGTGTGCTGGGCTGGGTTCAGGAAGAAAAACCTTATTTGTTGCTTTCGTATGATGTGGATAGAAGAAAATTGATAAAGAAATCATACAGTGAAAATAATAATAAGAGATTAGTCAAATTGATACAAGATAAACTGATATTTATCTTAATTAAGTCTAACTGTATCTTGGAACATTTCAACAGCTCTTCCAACTTCATCTGTCACCTCAGTTGCTCAACAGAAAGAATATCTGCATTATTTCCTTGAGCACATTCCAACACTGCTTGAATTTCATAGTACTAGCATCATGAAATTTTCCCCGCCGCAATATTATGTCCATAAATTTTAATATGTAAAGTTGTAATATTTGCAATAAAAATTATGTAATATTTACACTTGATGTAATAATTGCATAATTTTTGTATGCTTATTTGCATAATATTACGGGCCTGCCGTAAACTTACGTAAATAGTGTAATAATTATGTAAATCTGCATCAGAAAAATTTCCTGATGAGATCACTAACTAAAGCTCGTTCAGCAGTCTGTACAAAACATCATGCTGGAAACTTACAAGAAATAACTAGGTAAGATATCTTACCAGTGCTGAAAGATACAATCAACAAAATTGACAAAGTATATAAACCAATGAGGTATCATTTTAGTTTCGGAGTAGGAATATTAGGAGGTCAGAATTCACCCCACTTCTATATGCAAATAGTCCCTAAGTATAGAGAAGACAATGAGTTACTGGATCTAAAGGGGCCTATGAGCCAGCTACACCTGAACAAATAAAAATAAATAATCAAACCCAATTCAGATAACATTATTATCAAAAAGTGTAAAGTGATTGCTAAATTGTGTAATGAAGTATGTTTTGGATACACAAGAATCTCTACTAAAGAACACTTATAAATGCCATTGAAACCAACTAGGCGAAGTATTACAAGAAACAATGCAAAGATTTGAAAGCACTATGGATATTCATTATTTTCAGTTAGGATGTGAACTAGGAGAAGAACTTGTAAAAGCATTAAAAAGGGAAAAATGGGAAGGTGATGTTCCCTCTTATGCCAATGATTATAGGGAATCTGAACTCATGATGAATGTGTTTCCTAAAACCAAATTACAAAAATATTGAAGACATTACAGGCCATTAAAAAAATAACCAATTTGATGGTACTATGGAAAATGAATGCCTTGCTGAAGAACTAAGTGACTGGGTTCTGTAATTACTTGTAAAAAGTAATTATTTGTTCACAATCAATACAAATAACAATTTTCTACACATGAGATCACAGAAACAAAAAAAAACTTTAAGGTTGTGATTATTTATGGTTTTATTAACAACCTGCCTCAAAATTTTCATGGAGTAGATGTATATATACTATCCCTTAAACTGTCCACATTTTCGAATAAGGGAATTTCGAAAAATTTATTGGTAAATTACAAAATTTCACCAACCAAAATTAACCAAATCGCACAATAAAAAATTTTATTATGAATATATCAATTTTTAAGGTAATGATTGACACGGGCATGGTAGACTTTTTACAGTTTTACAAAACCCATAATAATAATGGCCGAATTTCTATATATAGATCAATGTATAAAATCTCAAATATCATTTGTTAATTAGAAAGCATGATGATCAGAAAAATTTTTCTATATAAAAAAATTTAATTGTACAAATTTGTATGATAGCCAGTTTAAGGGATAAAGAAACTATATATCAAATTTGGTGATGTCATTGCTACACAGCAAGGGCATTAAATCGGGTTTGAAAGTATTCAATTGTAAATTTTACTATGAAAAATTTGATGTTGATCATCAAAATTCACTATGTTTTTGCAGTAGAAATAAATTTTTGTGACATGTCCTACAACTGATACATAAATATTGTGTACATGTTTGTTGATCAAATAACAATTCTTTTTTAAAAAATGTCTTCTATTTTAAGCAATAAAAGAAGGAAAAGAAACAGAGAATGGATATTGCCGGATAAGTGTCATTATTTATTAGTTATTATTAAAAAAAATGCTGGTGGTGCTTATTGTCACTCTAGGTAATAGAAATAAAAATAGTTTATAATAGCGTGATATATAGTTTTAAAAAAAGAATGAGTAGTGATTGTGGTTTTTAATTGTTTCAAAACAGAAAAAAAAATTTTGACTTGTATTTGCATTTCTTAGAAAAAAATCACCATCATATACCTTAGAGAATAAAGTAAGCAATAAAAAACAATAAGTTTATTTTGAGCCTGTTTCATTGAAATTTGGCTTTTAAAATAATGTCCAAGTTAAAAAATCAATAAACAAATTAATATACAGCAGCCATATAATTTGAGAGCCAGGAGAGAAGGTAATATTGTAGTTAATATTAATGGTAAAGAAAATTTCAGAGGAATTGAAGATGATTATTATGGAAATGATCATGGAGAAGAAAATACAAAAGCAACTATCTTCATTTATTTCAGCTTTTGATATTTGACAAAATTAATATGATGCTTTTATATGCCTACACACATTAAGATCATCCCTCTAAAAGTACAACAAAGGAAAGAAATTATGATAATTTCAATTTAATGGTTAAAGATAGAATGTGGAAATTATCTTCTGTTTGTTGTGTAGAAGAAAATTTATATACATTAGGAAAAAAACTTAATTATGAACAGTGGGCATCATTAAGGCTGCACATTTGATTAATTATCATGTGTTTTAACCTATATAAAAATCACAATCTACATCATTTTTATTAATTGACAACTGGGTTTCACATGCAGTTTTGGTATTTATATAAATGACTTTGTAGTTGGTAATTGTGTCAGAAGTTCTAACTGCAAATTAATATTCTAGTGCAATACATTCATTCATTTTGAAAATCGATGATGAAATTATAATAAATACTTCATCAAAAAAGAATTGGAAGAGATATATACGACACCAGGTTCTGTTGTTCATAAACTGATTAAGGTTGCTTGCTAAAACTCATCCAGAAATCAATCAGCAGGGTTTTGGCAGGTTACACATTAATTATTTATTAGAGTTTTGACAGAGTTTTGCATTTTGAGGTTTCACCATTTCAGCATAGTTTCAACAGGATTTTTGATAAGATTTAATATAGGTTTCAGCAATTACTAAAGAGGTTTTGCCCACAACCTTAAAACCGACTGATATTGTCTAAGTATATTTGCTAATAAGGTAATAATATTCCATCTATTTATTGATTGATAAACATTTGTGTACTTTAATGATTCACAAAGTCTTTTATTGCAGACTAACCTAAGTGAAATTAGAGGAATATTGAAGAAAGTCAGTTTTGGTGATCAATATAATTTTGAAAAAGATCATGATGTTGACTACATTATATTTGCTATTCATGCTTTGTAAGTAAATCTTTTATTGTAGTCCTTATGAATTACTTTTACAGAATATGAGAAATTGAAAGTGGAAAGCTATACAATGATAACCTTGAAGCATGGTTTAACAGTCATGTTTGGAATTATATATTCGATCAGGCCTTTGATAACATGAAAGCCATTTCGGTTGTAATTTACTTTACTCAATTTTATTTATTTTTTGAATACAACTTATTTTTGATGAAACTTACAAGTTTTGCTTCTTAACCAAGAGGTGAAAGTTCCAGTATTGCCAGTTCATTAAGAAAAAACAGAAATAGGGTACCAAACACACAGAAAAAATGGAGATTGGGTATTAAGATCAATTACCAATGGTGATAAAGATGAATTTGGAATGGGTGAGGTAGAAAAAAACGGGAAACCAAGTATGGCACAAAATTCTTAAAAGAACTCAGTTTAAAACTCCCAAAAAACTTAAAAGACATGCTAATGAAATTAATGGAAAAGGTTTCCTGGAATCCTACACAATGTTAATGTATAAAATTTGTTGATCAATTTTTGTGCATGCTGCACAAATTTTTTCGGATTTGTGCAATAGTTGTGCATGTGTGCACAAAATCGTAAATAATTTAGAAAAATGTAATTGTGCAAAAATTTTTCATTTAATTTGTGCACTATATTTAAAATTTTTGTCTCATTGTGCACTGTGCACATAAATTTATACACTGCACAATGTGATAGAATACAAACAATTGGAATAATTTTTTTTGTTGTTGTGATTTTGATGTTAATCTCTGAAAAAAGTTCATCAATATTCATTAATACTTTAATTTATAGGCTTGGTCATGATTATGATAAACCCAAGGGATACATCTGTAGAATAAAATGAAGTGAAATGATTGAAGTTCCCAATTCATCTGAAAAATTCCCATCAATTTTACATATACTAGCAGCAGTTCTAAATGCGAAGGTTGAATTTGTAATATTTGTGTATTTTCTTATTCCCCATTAACATATAGTTAATATTATTTATTTGTAAATTTAGACTATTGTTAAAGAAACATTAAACACGCAATCAAAAAATTGTGATCAAACATCATTTGTTGATGCAGGTCTAAAAAGGAAACACAGCCAAAATCAAGAACAGTTACCTATTTGTATGACAAGCCCCAGAAATATTTATTAGATTTCTTGTAAAGGGTTCTTTTTTTATTATCTGGAATATTAATCATCATCCTTGAAAAGGTTATTTAAATAATAATTTTCTCACTTGATCCTTTTAATTTCTCCTAAAATAAAAAAATCAATACTATGTCAATAGATACATATCACTTTTTTTATTCTGTAAATAGCATCTTTTATAGCATATGAAATCCGAATTATTTTTATAATTTTTTATACATACTAATAATATACACAAATTTTTATTTATTTGCATAATAAATAATAATATACCAATTTTAAAGATGATGAATGTTAGGATGAAAAATTCAAAAAAAAAAATTGATTATTTATTGTCAAGTTGTATATATATGCTCTCATACCAAAAGCATTTGACAAAAATTAACAAACTATCTAGATGTTGTAAATTAGAAACTGTTTTGTTTTAAACCTTATACACATTAAGATCATGTAATTGAATCTTTTGGAGATTGATGATAACTAAATTTTGATCCCTGAAATTCTTGGTAATACCAATGTTTACTTTGTCTGGTTTTGTTGCAGCATGCCCCATATATTGTTTTTTCTTTATTAAACCCATTTACAAATTTATTAACATGTTTTAGAATTGATTATTTTTGTGAACAAAAATAAAAATTTAATAATAAATCTCTACTAATTTATATACTACAAATTCTTCTAACAAATAATATTTTTCTTCAATATTTAAATTATTTTGATAAGAAAAATAAGGGTGACCACTATAACAACAATAAGGTTCATTATTAATACTGTTACACATGTATAAATTATGAAAATTAACTAATTTTTCATGAAATTTAATATCATCACCAAAATGATCTAGAACTTTTCTGACATGGCGTATTGCACTTCTGTAAAGTCTGACTTTACTTAAAATTGAATTATTTATTTGGTTTTGATCAATCTTGAAAATAAAACTTTTATTTGTTTTAATCCAATAAGCCTTATCAGGTGACTTTTTCTTATTATTCCAACAAACTGGATTATATCCACCAATTAATTCTCCTGTTTCTTTAATTTTCATGATGACAACTGTTTTTTCAATATTGTAACATCTTTCCTCAAAAACTGATCTTGAAAAACCATCTCGAGATCCACTTAGAATCAAATTAAATTCATATGCTAAATCATTTGAATTAATTTCATTGATCCAACTTGAAATTAAAGATTTCATTTCTAAACTTAATAATCTTCTGACTCTTGGACCTTTTTGAAGTAATAGTTTTGGTTGCCATTCATCAGCATGATTGTAAATTGAAGTAGTTCATCATATATTTCTTTGTCAATAACCTTTTTATAAGGTTTGATTTTCTCATTAAAATCATTTGAAGGGATCATATTAAATCTCATTAATGGAATAATGTTTCTCAAAAGTGCTTTCAATTTGATTATATTATCATTGTTCCACTCTAAAATATCTTCTCCTAGTTTGATTAATTTTAATTTTTTATTTTTTGATGGATACTGACCCAACTCAATTGCTATTTTTCTTTTTTTCTCTTCTTCTACTTCTTCCAAATCTTCAATTTGTCTAATTCCCCATCGAATAATATAGTTCCAGATATCAATTTCAGTTTCTACTTTTAAATCATCTCTTTCTAATATTGGTAAAATCATTGATTTTTCAATAACTTTATAACCATCATCATCAGAATCAAAAAAAAATAATTCAGGATTTTCACAAATCAATTTTTTACAATTCTCTTGAAGCATACTGAATGATAAATGACATTGTGATGAAATTCTATAAACATAAGTTAAATTTTGTTTAATCCATTCATTTTTTTTAATGATTAAATGATTCTGTAAATCATCAATTAATTCATTAAAGCATAATTCATCACATGCCTTGAGCAGTTCAAGAATTTCATCTGGATTCATGCCATCAATGTTAACAATTCCATTGTAAACATAACTTTTTGAAAAAAAATAGTTATAATTAAAAAATTAAGCAATTAATATAAAAAATGGCAAATAAATAAATAATTCTTACGTTAAAAGAACTTTAAATATTTTTGGAGAAATATTTGGTTTCTCAAATTGTATAACACCATCTTGAGATTTGGTTAACCAATTTTCTGACAATGCAGTTTTAAAATATGGAGACCTTACTTTTAAAATCTTGGAATGAGCTTTAAAGGTTTTAACATCATCATCCTCTCCAACTTTAATTTCTACATCATAATAATCTGATTCATTTAATAGTTGGGTTAAATCATTTACAAGTTTAAGAATATGTTTTAATGGAAGGGCATTGTTATTGGATTTAATAAGATTGTTAAAAAATTGATTAATATTTTTTAATGATGAAAAACTATTATTATAAGACATTTTTGTTAGAGCTAAAATTTAATATTTACTATTACGTTAATATTTTTAAGGTAACACGAATTTTACTATGATACAATTAAGCACGTGTTACATCAAAAAAAATTTTTTTTTTTCACCTTCAGGCAATCAAAATCAAAAGAAAGGATATCCAACTAGTCCCAAGAAGGAGCTCTGCTCATCGCCAAATAGATCTGATCTGGGGCAAACATGTTTTTATCAATTGTAAGAGTCGCATGTGGCAATGTCACGCTTTGGGTCTTGTGAGTTGTCCAGGCAAATGCGTTCTGCAATGGGAATTGGCACCTCGAGGCATGTATACCGTTTATTTCAAAATTTATAGTGATTTTTTGAAAGTTTGTATCGCTCACAGCCTTTATATATTCAATAGATGTTAAAATAGATGCCATAGTTTAAAAATTGATTTATTGTTGTTGTAGTGTTAAAAAAAAGGTGTTTAAAAATAAATATCAAAATTTATTTAAAAAAAAAAAAGATGTTGAATTGTCAGTTATTTTTATTGATACTTATTACCAATAACAACAATAGACATTTTTATCAATTATAATTGTTAATGAATGCGTGCGTATCCAT